CTATGTCCCCAAGATCCCTAGTAGCAAAATAGGAATTAAAGGCATTAATTATATAGGTTAGAAATGAGGGATTGTTCTTAGTGACCGATATATCGTCTACATAAACTAGGAGTAACATTCTACAGCTTTTTGCCCGATAGACAAATAGAGAGGAGTCAATCTTTAAATCTACAAACCCAAAACCAATAAAAAAATCTTATAGTCGTGGGAACCATGCTTCGTGGTGATTGCTTCAAACCATAGAGTGACTTATGAAGTTTACACATATGATCGTGGAGCCGAGGATCCACAAACCTAATTGGTTGAGCCATAAACACATCTTCATTGAGACTTCCATTCAAAAAAGCATTATGTACGTCTAATTGACGATTAGGCCGCCTATATGAAATCGCCAAAGCCGAGCACGCCAAATGGTAGAAGGTGTCACCACCGGACTAAATGTCTCTCTATAGTCTATACCCTCCTCGCCAATGGTACCTCTTAGCCACCAACCTCATCTTGTACCTTTCAATGCTATAATCGACGTGCTTTTTAGTCTTGAAGACCCATTTATTATTAACAATATTCATAGCATTAAACCCATGAGCCATTATTGAATGCCATTCTAAATTTTTTTTGGCTTTAAAGAAGCATGTTGGACTCTCTAGAACTAGAGAGTGAGTGACTTCCATAGAAGCTTTAGGTTAGGGCAGTGGACCCCATGGATCGCAGGATCATATTATGGATGCGTGGAGGTACAATACCAAGCTTGGCTAGCTACCCACTATTCCGCTGTTACAAGTCATATGGTTTAAAATGCAATACTAAGTTCGGACCAAAGGGAAAAGGGGAAGCATTGTTTAGACTTGTAAAGGATATGTGTTTAGAAGTTCTAGGGGTGGGAAATGTATAAGGGATAGGTGATAGAGTAATCTGTAGTGGCTGATTGAAAGAGAAGACAGGTGTATCACGAGATGGTATGAGAGAAGACACGGATCGAGGGCTATAATCGAGGTTGATGAAGGTTGGAGAGGAGAGGTTATTGTGTGTTGGGAAACCACAGTTGACCTATGAATGGGTATTGTGTGAGGAGGATTTCTATGGTGGCTAGAATGGATTAGGGGAAAGAATTTGAGTAAGGATTAATTTTTTAAAGGAGAAGAAGAAACATGCTTAGGGGTGTGATGTGTATTTGGTGACGAGTTGGGCCTAACCTATAGGGAAAGAAGAGAAGGAAGTAACGGGCTGGGCTGTGGTTGAAATGGGCTATGGAGAGAGGTAAAGTGATGCTAATCTATAAAAAGAGAGTGAGATGGGTGATTTGGGGCTCGAATGGGCATGCCGACCTAAAGGGCGAGAGGAAATAGAAATAGGGGCTAGGCAATAGGTTGATCGGCTTGAGCGAGAGGAAAAATATTTTTTGTAAAACACATGTAACAAGCAATATAAACGATGATTTTTCTCGCCGAATATCCTAGAAGGAAAGGGCCGTAGCCAAGAAAAATATATGGAGCGAAACGAAAATCCATTTTGTATTTGTTATATGAACACAAGTAAGGGTAATAGAGTCATAGAGACCCAAAAATTTTGAAAAGGGGTAGTTGAGTTTTATTTTAAAAACTATTCATAAGGGGAAACATGATTAAGAATTGAAGATGACACTCTATTAATTAAGAAAGTAGCAGTTTCAAAAGCATAATGCTAGTATTTTCTAAAGACTCTAGCCTCACCTAATAAAGTGAGGCTCGTTTCCACAATAAGACGGTGAAGTCTTTTAATCATCCTATTTTGTTTTTGTATATAAGGGCACATTATGTGATGAATTAAACCGATTGATTGAAAATATTTAGTCAAATTTCAAAATTTTCCACCTCAATCAGCTTTGTATTTGTTTTATCTTGCAATTAAACCGGTGTTCAATCGTTGTTTTAAAAGCAATAAAAGTGGCATACACATCAAATTTTTTTAGTGGGAAAAACTAAATATATTTTAAAAAATGATCAATAAAGGTAATGCAATATTTATGACCACTATTTGAAGTAGTGGGAGAAAGTCTCTATACATCACCGAAAACTAAATTAAAAGACTAGATCTATAATGTTTCGAAGGAGACGAGAGATAAATAACTTGTTTTTCCTAACGGATAAGACAAGCAAAACATAAACCAAATTTTAGAAGTGGATAGTGATTTTTTTTTTTAATTAGGTTTAGAGCTCTATTACGAGAATGACCTATTATGGAGTGCAAAACCGAAGCGTAGACAAGGATGGAGTGAGCTTGAGGAGGCGAATTAACTAGAGAGGGAACTCAAGCCTAAAAGCAATGGATTTTTATGTACTCGATCCTTTATATAGAAAAAAGAGAGGTGAAATTTTCAAAAGACATTATTATCGAAGTTAGCCTTTTAACATAAAGTAGTGGGCGGGTGATTTGTGGAACATGCATGACATCAAATAAACGTAGGGTGCTAGATGGGATGTGGATATGACAAGTACCTATATGTTTAATTTACAGGTACTTAACATTGCCGCCCTAAAGATGGTAGGTACTTGATAAGGCTCATATGTACGAAGCTTACTAGGTCGTGTGTCACGTGGTGTGAAGCACCGGTGTCGGGACACTTATACACCGGGGGTGTTCATGTGGCACAATAGAGGAAACGACCGAGATGTTAGCAGAAGGTTATAGAGGAGGAAATTGCCTTTGTGGGTAGTAAGTAGCCGTGTGATTCCAAGAGGAACAGATTTGACATTTTTGCTTGTGGTCATTAGGTTGCTCGAAGGATCTATGGTCGAATTGATGTCATAAGAGGAGGAAAATCTCCCACGCCCATGCCCACGAAAGTAGCCACCTTTACCACGGTTTGAGCCACTAAACCGATTAGTAGGGAAGTCAATTGTCTCGTGAATGAGGTTGGAAGTAGGTGGAGTGGGTAATATACCATTACTCGGTGTTGTTAGTTCAAGCAGAGATTCATGATTTAAATATTCTTGACTAAGTAGGAAAGGAGGATCAATCTACCCATCTACTAATTTAGGATCTTTCTTGTCTACCGAATCTTACACTCGCAATTGTCTTACTAAAAAAATCTTCTTTAAGCTTTTATTAATCACTAAATAACTTCAATATCATTATGAAGCTATTTTTTAAAATAAAAAAAAGTATATTTTCCTAAATTATATAACTCGATCTATCGGAGGTTGTTTTGCATACTTTTTTTTTCTCAAATTAACAAAAACTCTTTTTGTTGGAGAAGAAGATCATATCTTTTGGAGCTCGAGAGTGAAATTGATTCCATATAGCCAGCATACAATTTCATGGAACTTAAATCGATCACCAAGATGTATTCTCACAAAAGATTCTCGCATTTCCTCTCGTTGGAGATTTTCATTTATCGACAAAAGCATACAAAAAATCGAGTATAATTTTTTATATTAGCAAAAGTAACCATTTATTAAAGCTCTATACTTTGAATTTGGCACTTTGAACTATTTTTTCTTAAATTTCATAACCATTGATTGTTACCTAAAAGTCACGGACATGAGAAAGCTTGCCTTTAGACAATGTTACTTAAACTTCAATCATATTGGAATTTAGTTTAGGCATTGGTTGAAATTTTTTATTTTTTTTGAAAACCAATTAAACAATTCCAATCTTACTAAAGAGATGAATATCAAGCATTAACTAAATACTTAAATGAAAATAGCATCTTTCAAAGAAGCGCCTTTCTAAAAACACATAAGCAAACTAGTTGTGCCGAGAGCACACATTGTCATATAGTTGAAATAGAACTAGCCCTTCTCCATCATACTGTTCCCCTATCATTCTAGACCTTTCCTTTGATACAACCATTTATATTATAAACATAATTTCCACCTTGCTTGCAAAATAGTTCACCTCACTATATTTTTTTTAGAACACCCCGATTGTATAATGAACTCAAAATTTTTTATTGCTATTGTTATTCTTGGTTACGACCATATGCTCACCATAAACTTGCCTCATGTGCTTTTGCTTGTGTTTTCTTAAGTTACAGTAAAGTTCATAAAGGTTATATTTATTATTCCATTTTAAATAAAATATTATTTGTCTCATGTAATGTCTCACTTGATGAATAGGTTTTTCCTCTTTCTTCACAAGTCTGATTAATCCGTGTAGCATAATCTATCTGAGACATCTCCCAACCCATGACAGACCCACAAGCCTTAAGCCTAACTCCTCCTCCCAACAAACAAAAACTCACTCCAGCCCATTACACCCACACCCGCAAGCCTAACCTTGGCCCAATAAGCCTAAGCCCAATCTCCTCCTGATGATATAATCCCACAAACATCCACACATCTTTTCTTGCCACTTGAAATAGATCTAACTGCCTATTACTTACCGTCACAACATCACTCATCATCTTGTCCATCTCTCTCATCACCTGCTTCCACAAATGCCACTGCCTCCTCTGCCCGTTGCAGACCCAGACTCGCATGCCCACCAGGCACGACTGCATCGTTTGACCCACCCAAACCTCGATCTCCTAACCCAAAGCATGCCCCTGCCACCTCTGCCCAGTTACAACATTCTGCTTCCACAAACACAGCTCCTGATTCCTATGCCTAGATATCACGTCCTCCTTCCACAACAAGTATATAAATAAATATTATTGAAATATTTCAAAAGAAAAACAAATATTTATTTTTAATAAAATAATATTAAATTAAATGTGAGTAAAATGATTAATAAATTAATTTTTTAATATGCTATAGATAAGATTAGATTTTAAGAGATAATGTTGAAGACGTGAAATTTAGTTATTGGTGATAGATATTACACCATATCTATCTAATAAAGGAAATCAAACGGTGAAGAAGAAAAAACCAAGATCAAACGGATGAAGAGACAGCACAGTGCCGATGATCTTAAAACTTCTTTTAGTTTTCTTTTAAATTTTGGCATTCTATAAGTGCATGACTCTAGCACATTAATATAGACAGGAGATAGAGGCCATAAAAAATAGGAAACTGAACCCAATGGAATTCCTTTGTTATCTACTACTCATTTCTTTGGTTTGGGCATGTGTACATCTTCTCATCACATCCAATCTACTTCGCCGAAAGGCCGGTGGCACCATCCTCCCACCTGGCCCTCGCCAGTTACCGATGATTGGAAACATATTGGCACTCGGAACCAAGCCCCACCAAAATCTTGCTAGCCTCTCAAAAACTTATGGACCTTTAATGACCCTCAAGCTTGGTAGGATAACCACAATAGTCATATCCTCTCCAGGCATTGCCAAAGAAGCATTACAGAAACATGACCAAGCCTTGTCTAGCCGAAAAATCCTAGATGCTGTTCGTGCAAATAATCACCACAAAAATTCAATGGCATGGTTGCCTGCTTCAACTCATTGGAAATTTCTCAGGAAAGTCGCTGCCATACAAATGTTCACTCCGCAAAAACTTGATGCGGGCCAAGCCCTTCGTGGAGAAAAGGTGCAAGAAATGCTAGAATATGTTCATGAAAATTGCGACAATGGTCATGTTGTCGACACAGGGAGGGCTGCTTTCACAACTGTCCTTAATTTAGTTTCAAACTCCTTCTTCTCTTTTGATATAGCCAATTACAATTCTAATTTCTCTTAAGAATTCAGCGATCTTTTGGTGGGTGTAATGGAACAAGTTGGCAAGCCTAATATTGCAGACTATTTCCCGATACTTCGTTTAGTAGATCCACAAGGAGTAAGACGAAAGATGAATATTTATTTCGAAAGAATAGCTCAAATTTTCGAGAGTATCATCAACGAGAGGATACAAGAACGTTCTTCTTTGGTTGCATCTAAGGCAACCCATGATGTACTTGATGCCCTGCTTATTCTAGCAAACGAAAACAATACTGAATTTAGCTACAATGACGTACAAGCTTTGCTTCTGGTAAGTATTCAGATTAATTTTTTTTATTAATAGTTCTGACCAAGTTTTTCTACCCACTAACTTTTAGTTGACGAATGATTCTCTTGTATATTTACATCAGGATTTTTTCCTAGCGGGCACTGACACTACTTAGAGTGGGCAATGACAGAGCTATTACTGAACCCTGATAAATTGGTCAAAGCCAAAAATGAGCTCCAAGAAGTCGATGGGCCAATTCTAGAAGCAGATATCTCAAAGTTCACTTACCTTCAAGCTATAGTTAAAGAGACATTTCGGCTGCACCCACCAGCACCATTCCTGGTGCCCCATAAAGCCGAAGCTGAAGTACAGATACAAGGCTATAAAGTGCCCATAAATGCACAAATACTAGTCAATGTTTGGCCCATAGGAAGAGATCCATCCGTATGGCCAGATCCTAGTTCATTCAAGCCTGAAAGGTTTTTAGAAAGCAAAACTGATGTGAAAGGAAAAGATTTTGAGCTAATTCCATTTGGAGCAGGAAGAAGGATTTGTCCTGGATTACCATTGGCTCAAAGGATGGTGAACTTGATGTTGGCATCTCTTATCCACTCTTTTGATTGGAAGCTTGCAGATGGCTTAACACCAGAAAATATAGACATGAGCGAAACCTTTAGGCTTTCATTGCGTAAGAGCAAGCCTCTTCGGGCCATCCCCATCAAAAAGTGAACTTATTTTCTCTATGATGTTATTGATAAGGATAACTATTTACTGTTATTATACTTTCTATAGTTATCTTATACTTCCTGTAGTTATCTTTAGCTATCACAGGTTAATAAAATGTTTCTTGGTATCAGAGCCATTAGAGTCTTAACAGTCCACGATATTTTTATTTTCCAAACTCACCATGACAGCCGCTGATACCCCCATCAGATCAGAAGTTATTGTGTGTCCAACCATTGTTTTAAAAGCAATAAAAGTGACGTACACATTAGTTTTTTTTTTTTTAATGAAAAAAACCAAATATATTTTGAAAAATGATCAACAAAGGTAATGTAATATTTATGATCTTTATTTGAAGCAGAGGGAGAAGGTCTCCATACATCAGTAAAAACTAAGTTAAAAAACCAGAGCTATAATGTTTTGAAGGAGACGGAGATAGACAGCTTGCTTTCCCTAACGGACAAGACAAGCAAAAGCTAGACCATTTTTTAGAAATAGATGGTGAATTATTTTTTAAAATTAGGTTTAGAACTCTATTGTGGGAATGACCCAGTCTAGAGTGCCAAACTAAAGCAGAGACACGGATGGAGCGAGCTTGAGGAGGCGAATGAACTGGAGAGGGAAACAGAGTGTAAAGCTCAACGTCACTCAGACCTGAAAGCAGTGGTTTTTGTGTACCTAGTCTTTTATATATATAAAAAAAAAGGGGTGAAATTTCCAAAAGACATTATTATCAGAAGCTAGTCTTTTATCAGAAAGTAGTGGACGGGTGATTTGTGGAACATGCAGAACATAAAAAAAAAAAAGGGTGTCAGATGGGATATGGATATGACAACTGCCTATATGTTTAATTTGTAGGTACTTACCATTGCCAACCTGAAGATGATGATGAAGACCCTGATAGGGCTCGTATGTCCTGAAGCTTGCTAGTTCACGTGGTGTGAAGCACCAGTGTTAGGACACCAAAGGTGTGCATGTGGCACAGTAGAGGAAACGACCGAGACGTTAGCAAAAAGTAACAGAGGAGGAAATTGCCTTTGTAGGCAGTAAGTAGCCGTGTGACATATCTCAAATTTTTGCTTGTGGTCCTTAGATTGCCCAAAGGATCTATGGTCAGAACCATTGTTGATCCCATAACGGGAGGAAAATCTCCCACAGCCATGCCCACGAAAGTAGCCAACTCTACCACGGTTTGAGCCACTAAACTGGTTATTAGGGAAGCCAGTTGTCCTGTGAATGAGGTTGGCAATTGGTGGAGTGGTTAATAGACCATTACTCGGTGTTGTTGGTTCAGGCAGAGATTCATGATTCAAATATTCATGACTAAGCAGGAAATTGTGGAGATTAGTACAGCTTATAGTTCAGATCTCATGGAGAGGGTGGTGACAAATGTCTTTAAAGTTACTAGAGAGGCCCTTGAAGACATATAGGTTGAAATTAATGGCAGAGAGTGGCCGACTTGTTGCAGTGAGTTCATCACTGTGGGATTTTACATGTTGCAACTATTGGGAAGCTGATTCTATTGGCTCTTGGCAAAACTTTTGCATTGCAAGGTGCAATATCATGATTCGAGTGCTAGATGGAGATGCAAGTGCCCTTTCAAGAGCAGACCATATATCTAGAGAAGTCGTTCAGTTAATGACTAGAGGGAGCACATCAATGTAGAGAGAGGAGATGATAGTGCTAATGAAGAGTTGGTCTTGTTGGATCCATGCTAGATGTGAGGGATCTACTTGTATGATTTCGGATTCAATGTCAGTTGAGTGTCTAGGAGGGCAGGGATAGGAGCCATCAACAAAGCCATAGAGGCCTTGGCCTAGAAGAATGGTTTCATTTGGATGCGCCATAGCAAGAAGCTTGTGTGGGTAAGTTTGAGAGAAATGAAATGATTGAGACTTAATAGCTGATTCAGTACGATGGAGAGAGGGGTGGTAGTTGTTGTGGTAACAAATTAACTTAACACGTGAATAGAAATACTTAAATAACAGACAAAATAATAATAGATCAAAGTCTTCAAAAATTGTTCCACGTGCTTGGTGTTATATTTAACAAGTATAGATATAGGAGATAACAGGATACAAAAACCCTATCTAGTTACAACTTTTATCTAAGTCTAGTGTTTGGTTAGCAAACCATCTCTTAAGTTTAGTTTGGGTGTGATTATGTCGAGTCCATGTCCGCTGCAGCTCCTTGCTGTCTTAACAATACAAAATGAAAAAAACCCATTTTTTAAAATTAATTATATAATTAAATGCTCAACAAAAAATAATTTAAAAACATAAATAACTCCTTTTCAAATAAAAAAAGAAGAAGCAATTCATCAAAATTAATTCCTAAATTTTTTTCCTTGCAATGCCACTCATCGTATGAATAAAAAAACGAAACATATGCGCTCGAGGTCGTAGTCTAGTGGTTGAGGGCTTGCCCCGATGATCATCGTGGTTCGACTCTCTCTACAAACGCTTATCACTCCCGCGATGCTTTACTCCGTCCACCGGATTTACAATATGTTCAATGGATCCGGGAATTAATCGTGGTGCACACAATCCGATTTGGACACTAAATTATCAAAAAGAAAAAAAGAAAAAAAAGAAACATATCATAGGAGAAACTCTTAAGCACGTTGTCACGGACTTGGCCTTTCCCAAGCTCACGTGCGGCACTTGGCTCTCTTCTTCTCTAAGACAAACCAAGTCGGCCTTCCTCACACAAAGTTGCTAAGCAAGAAAGACACACACAAGAGATATAAAATACTCTTTGTATTGCTTTCTAAAAGCTTACAACTCTAAAGACACACTCTCTTAAGTTTATGAATGTCTAGGTGTCTCGGCCAAGTGAAGGCCTCACCTATTTATAGCCTTCCACCTCCTCAATGGATGGCTAGGATCTATTTAATTTAATGGCCACAATTAGTTTTCTAGAAATATCCTACCTAGATATTTACATGGAACTATCTAGATATTCAAATGTTAGATTAGTGAGGGACTCTCTAGAATTCTCTAGATCATCCTGTAGACTTCTCCAATGCTCCATATTCTTCTGAAGCTTCCGCACTTATCTGGAGGCTTCTCCATTGTTCCATGCTCTTCCGTAGCTTCCGGACTTATCTGGAGGCTTCTCCATTGTTCCATACTCTTCTGAAGCTTCCGGACTTGTCTTGTGTTCTCTAGAATTTCTAGAAAAATCCTCTTTTAAGGCGAGCGTAACACTCTCCCCCACCTAATTCGGCGACGTCCTCGGCGCGCCTTCATTATATTCTTCGACCTTCCGTGCGAATTGCCACAAGGCTTCAGCGGGTTCCCAACTAGCCTCGCTATCGTGTAATCCCTTCCATTTTACGTAGTACTCCTTCCTTGGTGGCACTCCACGGCGTCTAACTATGCGGTCATCAAGTATGACATCAACTTCTTTGTCATACGAGTTCACCACCGCCGTAGGTGCCCTATAAGAAACTCCTCGGCTTGGATCCTCCTCGTCCGCATGGTATGGTTTTAGCATACTAACATGAAATACCGGATGGATCTTCGACTTTGGTGGCAACTCTAAGCGATAGGACACCTCTCCCACCTTGTGCACTACTTCAAATGGTCCTTCATATCGTCGTATGAGGCCTTTGTGCACCTTTCGAAATGCCTTATGTTGTCGTGGTAAGCAACTTCAAGCATCACCTTGTCACCGGGTCGGAAGGTGACATCTCTTCGTCTCTTGTCGCCCCATTTCTTCATCTTCTTGGCAGCCTTGTTCAAATACACTCGCGTCAAGTCCGCCTCGCTCCCGCCATTCTTTGGCTAACAAATATGCACTTGGGTCGCTTCCTCGGTACTTGTCACCAAGCACCATCGTATGTGGAACGAGAGGCCGCCGGCCCGTCACAATCTCAAATGGACTCTTGCCAATAGACTCACTCTTTTGTAAGTTGTAAGAGAATTGGGCAACATCTAGCAACTTAGCCCAATCTCGCTGGTCTGGCACTCACAAAGTGCCTCAAGTATGTCTCCAACAAGGCGTTAACCCTCTCGGTTTGCCCATCC